GCGATAAAAAAAAAAAAAAAAATACGTAGTATTTTAACGCGCAATTTCATCATGATACTGATTTCGATCGATGAAGACACGTACTCCTCATTATGATACGAATTTTGGTCGATATCGTAATACGTATTTTTGGGAATAAACAAGCGGGTCTACGATTCTATCTCACTTCAATTTCAAATGACATTTATTCAATGACAACCTGTCAATAGTCCATGAATTCGCGACAGAAAATAAGCATGCATAGAACTTTTGGAAGCTCATTTACTTTTTGCTTGTGATTATTGGTTAATCCTTCAAGACAAACCGCTCAGAAGTGTTCACGTTGTTGCCGTCAGGTATAGAGCGACGTGTTATTTTCTATCGCGAATTGCCTATATTTTTGAAGCGTTGTCATTAAATGTCATTTGAAATGGAATGTCAACATCTCTAGGAAGTGAGTTATATGTATATACCCACTTGATTATAGGTACCCAAGTGAAGAGTTTTTATACAGGGTGTCCCGAAATTACCTTGGGGCTACTACGAAGAAAAGTTTCAATTAACATTAGACAAGAATTGTCTCCTAAGGGAGCTACGACTCGCTGAAAAGAGGCTCCTGAAGATGATATCTCTTGAATATTTTCGAAACGCCACGTGATAAAATTAGTACAAGAACTAAACTTTGTATGCCCAATGCGGTGAACTTAAAATCACTCAAAAGTTTCATTCAGGAGTGTAAAATAAAGGGTGGGAATACAGTAGATATTGCTCAAACTTTTTTGTATGCTATATTTCGACAGTTCAATCTCGGATTATGGAAATCCAAACTGTTTCACAAAAAAGGTGCTCTTGTTCCGCATCGATCAGATGTATCATTTTCTAGTGAAATTGATTTGAAAATATTGACACACTCACATCTTATTCATAACGTTGCCAATTTTCAAATGATAGTAGCTATTAAAAAATCAACTACTTTCTACAACCGAACAATCTTATAAAAGCGTCAAAAATAGGAAATCGCTTTTACTCGAGAATGATACATATGATCGTTACGGAACAAGAGTACCATTTTTTCTGTAAAGAGGTGAGGATTTTCATAATCAGATACGCTTACGAAAAATTTTGAGCAATATTCAATGTAGTCCCACCTTGTATTATACTCTCCTGAGCGACATTTTGAAATGATTTTATTTTCACTGCATTGGGCATGTGATGTTTATTTCTTTTACCGGATTGCATCTTTTTATCACATGGAGTTTCGAAAATACCCAACAAATATAATCTCCAAGGGCCCCCTTTCAGGGGGCCGTAGCTGCCTTGGGAGACATTTCTCGTCTCATGTTCAGTAAAACTTTTCTTCCAATTTTTGGTCGTAGAAGCCGCTGGTGAAATTTGGCAGGCTAATTTCGGGACACCCTGTATAGGTCAAAAACCCGTTTCGTAATGAAAACTAGGTGTCTTCATTGGTCAAAATCTGTATCATAATGAAAATCCGTGTTGAAAGAGTAGAAAAACATAGTGTTTTATACCTATACCGCGATGTTTACGGAATCGATAGGTTGTACATCAGGTGTATGGAAAACTCAGAGTTACCTAACTGAAAACCAACATTATTACCACATGGAAATTTTTATTAGTGTTTCCACCTTACTCATTTGTGATGACCAATTCATCATCATCTCAATTTTACACAAGCCGATGGTGTGACTCGGAATATTGTAAAATCCTAATCATAGGTGGTGTAATTACCGTTTCATTGAGCAAGTGATCTGACTTCCAGCCGCTTATCGTACATTTCTTATCTCAATTTTCGGATTTTCCCGAATAAATTCAATTCTGAAAATAACACTGAAGATTCTCATTGTCCGGTGATTGACCTCGCTACAAGAATCAACAATAAAGAAGCTTTCATTCCTTGAAATACAGGGTGTCTGTAAAAAGTCTTCACAAAAACATACCACATATTCCTTAGACCAAAATAACTCGATTAAAATTACCTCAGTACAAAGTTGCATCGTTTGGGCTCCAAAGGGCCTTGAAGTTACAATTTTTATATCGTTTTTCCCATATAAATTCAAAACGGCATATGCGATTTTGCTGAAATTTGGTATATTGATAGAGATTTATGTGGCAAAAAAATTGGTGTCAAAATTTTGTCCGATAATAATACATAGGCGTAGAACTTGATTTTTTAAATAATTGCACCTTTAAAATTTCTACGCCAATGGAAGAAAATGAGTTTGAGTATGAAATTTAGATTGCGCAACTCATTTACTTTAAAAAAAGGAATCTTGATAAGACTCGATTGCTCTCATGGTTTTGACGAAATTTGCATTTTAGTAATTTTAGAACATAAACAATAATTATTATTAAAATAAAAACTTTGTCAAAACCATGAGAGTGAATCGAGTGTTATCAAGGGTACTTTTTGTAGTAAATAAGTACCAAATCCAAATTTCATACTCGAACCCCTTTTCTGCCATTGGCGTAGAATTTTTAATGGTGCAATTATTTAAAAAATCAAGTATCATGAGACGTTGTGGTGCGGGGCAAACAAAGAAAGGGCACGAAAGAACAAAAACAATACTTTCAATATCCTTCTAAGACCTCTTTGGGAAGTGAATATTACGCCTCAAAAAAACATCCTCATGCCTACATTTCTGAAACATCCAAAAACATCCCAGGGATACCTCTCAGTAGGCAAACAAAGGAATGCCACAGAAGAACAAAAACAATACTTCAATATCCTTCAAAGACCTCTTTGGTCAGTGCATATCACGTCTCAAAATAACATCTTCATGCCAACATTTTCAAAACATCCCTTGCTGGGATTACACCGTGTAAAGTATCTGATGTCATTTCATTTGCTTTTCCATTTTTGAAAATCGGATAATGAATAAGTACCTGCGCTTTTTGTCAGTCATTATGTATTTTAATTTCAATTAATTTCATTCTCGGCTGGAGTAGTTTAGTTGTATGGTTTACAACAAACTTATCCACTTATTTGCATATGCCTATCGTAAAATTAACGTCAGGCTAGCGAGCAGTCACTACAACAAACTGAGACGAAGTTAAATGTGAACAATAATTATTTATTGGGCTCAATAAAACATACTTAATTGATATTATATTTACCTGACGCATCACGAATTCAAATATTTGTCATCTTACATCTAGAATATATTAATAAAAACACAATATTCGTACAGATATAAATAATATAACACAACCAATGAACCTATGTCTACAATAATTCATGAACCTAATCTGATTTGAAATAATACAAAGATTTACTAGAGGTCGCTGCTTAGTTCACAATACCACAGTGAAATAGATATAACTTTTAAATATTTCTTGTTTAGATGAAGTTATAATAGATCAAATTGGATTCATCAACAAAAATTTACCATAAGTTTGAAATCATTTTTCAAGTCCTGAATGTGTTTTGAAATTACATCATCATTTCATTTTGACGTTTGTTTTCTTATTCCATTCCATTTCCTATGTTATAAGGATATACAGTTTGATCAAGATGAGGTATAGAAAAAAAAAGCGCATTCAGAGGGTCATATTCCAACAGACAAAGTTTCATGAAAATAATTTAATTCTTCAGTTGAGTAGCCTTGATTTATTCATGATTTCATGATGTATGCAGATGACTTATCTTACATCTCCAACTCATCATCAATAGTAGATTGTTTTATTAGGATCAAAAGTGACACTTTGTTTGACAAGCGAATTTTGCATTTGCGAGGCGAAGCGTCTAGCGAAGCCGAGCGAAAGCAATATTTTTCTACACATAACTAAAATGGCATTTAGCGTACGGATATGTACCACGCTAAATGATCGATTAATCACGAATTGTCGATCTGTGATTTATTCAAAATATTAAACACGTTACCATGGCAACACGATTTCTTAAACACATTACCATGGCAACGCAGTTCATTAAACACAGCTTCAGTAATTTGAGACATGTCTGGCCTGTCAATTGTATTAACTGTCAACTGTTATTTTCGAATTTTGTATCAGAATTATTCAAACAATATTCGTTTGTATCAGAATTCTTCATTAAAAATATATGCGAGAAGTAGACGAAAGTGAAATCGAAGAGAATATTCTGGTACTTGCATATCTCCAAGAAGTGTAAAAATGAAGCATCCATCTTTGAGAACAATTTATTTATTCTGCGCTGAGCATGACAATAAACGTGAAACAGAGGTTAGTAAGCAATGAACTGGACACATCTACAACCAATATCACTTATACGTGTCACGCTGGCTGCATGCAGCTGCATGTATTATGTTCTCAATTCCCATTCCTTTCGAATTATTTCGTAGGTTAGCAGGAATTGCAGGTATGTTAATGTAATTTTCGGAGTTCGAAGAAAAATCATAGTATGTATTATGTAACGCGTTTATAAACTCTTCTAGACACTCGTTTATTAAACACTCGCTCCGCTCTGCTCCGCTCGTGCTTAAACTACTCGTTACTAAAAGGACGATTAGAACACTTGTTACATAATATACCATAATTGAATTGATTTCAGATTCTGGATTCTTCAAATTGTTCTTTGAATGTGAACCCTCTTAAGGGAGTTAAGTCGAGAGATCTGAGAGGAAACTGCATCAATTTACAGTCATCTGTGACTTTAGTAATCATTGCAAAGCCTACTATTATGAATATTAAAACATTAAAAGCTTCTCAAAGCAAGATTAACAACTTGTCAGTAATTGCGTCACAGAATCGTCAATGTTGAATATTTTTACATGAAACTTGGTGAAGATTTATTCCAGAAGATGCCGATTCCAGTGGCGCACGCAATTTTTCTTTCAAAAAAAAAAATTGCTGGAATGGATTCTGGACTGAATCCTCTAGATATATATATATACATATTCAAAATTCGATCACAGACTCCTTTTCGAAAAATCAACGACTAAAAATACTATAGCAAATGTGGGTGTCTCATCAATATAGACTATAGTTTAGTATGCATTGATTGTACTGGATCTATGCCAGCTGCTCTATTTCACAATGATTGGGATTTCACTAAGCAGCTTCAACTTCTTTGAAAGACCTCATTCCCATCATAGCTTGCGGCCCCTGGATCACTCTTATCATCATTGCCCAGCTCAGTTTTGCTGGCAAAAAACTGAAAATGAAAAAAAAACTGGTCAGCAGATGAAATGAGTTACACATACTTTTACTATTTCTTTTGAAAATGATTGATATGAGGAGGGTGAAAACAATATTATGAAGATGCTTGTAGGTTGCAAAATAATCCTTGACAAGAAGGTTTCTTCAAGCTATACATGGTGGCATTGAAATAAGTGCAAATATTTCAAACAATGAGAAAGTTCGACGTATTCTATCGAATGGCAATATACAGGGTGATTCAAAAGTAAGCGGCATCCTTTCAGAGGCGTATTCCTTGCTTGAAAATAAGGCAAAAAGTTCCTATTGATAAGGATCCGAAAATGCTTCCTAAGGGAGCTACGGCCCTTTGAATAGGACACCTCAAAGACGGTTTTTTCTCTATAACTTTAAAATCCTTCACAACAAATTTTTTAAAATTGGTGTACGGCATAAACATTCGATGGTAAATAGGACTCCGTATTCGAAATTTCAGAATTTCATTCAGGGGCGTCACATGCGGGAGAGGGTAAGTGTAAAAATATCCCTTCTTCTCCGGATATTCAGGTTACTGTGATTTCGTTTGGAAATTATTTCGAATACGGAGTCCTATTTACCATCGAATGTTTATGCCGTACACCAATTTTAAAAAATTTGTTGTGAAGGATTTTAAAGTTATAGAGAAAAAACCGTCTTTGAGGTGTCCTATTCAAAGGGCCGTAGCTCCCTTAGGAAGCATTTTCGGATCCTTATCAATAGGAACTTTTTGCCTTATTTTCATGCAAGGAATACGCCTCTGAAAGGATGCCGCTTACTTTTGAATCACCCTGTATACAGTCTACGTAAATAGTTGAGAATAATAAGGAGGCTTTGGAAAGTACTATTGAATTATTGTTATGACTACTTACTACTTTTATTAACACGCTTATATTTGGTTCGAGCGTGATTTGAGTTACAGGATGTTTTCATTTGATTACCAACGTCACCAATTGTCACTGAGAACTGACAAGTGTGTAGACGAATACGAATTTGCCATACAAAAAATACATTTTCAATGTTGAAAACGGGAGCAGATTCGTTCCCGAAACGTCCAAAGATAAGTGAAAATTTTATATTTTTCCTTCATACCTCTATTTTTCTTCTCTAAACCTTTTTCAATACAAATTGTCACCCTAATAACACACTTATGTGTCCCATGGATATCCTTAGGACGTTCGAATTTGGTACCGTGGACGTCCATTGGACGTCTGTGGGACGCACAAATGTCCCACTTGAGGACCAACTAGGGACGTCCTTGAGGGATGTCCCTGGGACAACTATCGAATACCTAAATCCTACAGTATTCCTCATCAAGCACTACAGAGGACATCCTTAGGACATCCATAGAACAACCTATCATCAACGCTGAGGGATATCAATTGGATGCCCAGGGACGTACGAATTATTCTTGAATTCGAATTTTTCTGGGTCTCTCTTGGACCAGATCTTGCATAACTTATTAGAACATCCAGTTGAGTTGATGGTCCATAAGAGGTCCCCAAAAAGTGTTCCAAGGATGTCCAATGGACTTACGTGAAGGACATTGACGAGGAGTACTTATAGCCTACGAGCAATCATTCGTCAGCGAGGTGTTAGTTAACGTCCTCGCAGGGACAACATATCGAAAGTACCGACTGGGACGTCCATAGGACGTTATTTTTAGGACATTGGAAGAGTACAGTTCATCAACCAATTGGGACATCCGACGGATATCCCTAAGGGACGTGCGAAGGATGTCGATTGTTATACGATCCTGGAAATATTAAGGGCGTCTGTGCAGAGATATTCGAAGTAATGCACCATCAGGGACATTCCATGGTTGTCTAGAAGGGACATTATATGAGATCTGAAGTCATGCCAGAATATGTACTACTCGGGACATCCGATGGATGTCCCAAAAGGAACGTTTAAAATCATATCACATCAGGAACATTCCAAAGACGTCTTTGCATGGACATTCTACAATATTTACCACGTGGAACGTCTAAGGGATGCTATTTCTAGGACATTTGAAATGATGTACCAGCTGGGACATTTCGTGGACGTCCTTGCTCGGACACTTATTTTTGGTTCGGGACATTCGGACGTGAATTGTACCAAATAGGGACGTCCCTAGGACGTTGTGTGCTATTAGGGCACTGACAAGCTAGTGCATTTTGGGGCAAATCATTGTCCTCACTACACGTATATTGAGATAGTATTCATATTTTTATTTTATAGAGACGAGGAAAGGAAATCCCAGAAAAATCTGGCTGAATAAGGCTCAATATACATACTTTTTGAGGGGAAAAACATATCGTGCGTATGACGGCATCGTAACGAAATCTTCTTCTCTTTTTATAGCCGTGATGATCCTTTTGGCAACATCTCTCGGCTGCAACATGGGCATATTCTTTGGTTTGCAGCCATCAAACATTCCAGTGTCGATGAAATAAGGACATACCAACGACATTTTTATTTTGTGCTGGCCATGAGTCTGAAACAAATGAAATCGACATATTGGTAGGGCCTGAACCTGATACCATCCATGGTGTTTTGAACGATGTAACCATGGATAGCGAAGTGAAAACCAGGAGTTTGATATAAAATAATTAATATTAATTATAGCTTCCGATGTCAGAAAAATTGGCTATATGGGATGTTCGATTACAATAAATGATTCTTAGGCTTCGTGAAATAGTCTAGTAAATTACCACTCTGTTCCTGATGAATTTTGATAATGATACGATGAAAAAAATTGAGTGAATCAGAGAATCATCAAATTATCTTGCTATAAATTGAAAAAATGATTGTGTATCTCTTGCTAGGAAAAAAATTCGGAAACATCCTGCTCGAGTAACCAACAGACAGTATCCAAAATACTTTTTCCTTGCTTTTCTTGATGTTGCTCAGATTATTTTATATCAACTGCAACAAACTGAGAACATGCAACTGAATAATTCACAATACAATAATGTGATGGAGTTGTCAGGCTAGAAGAAATTCAATTTTCAATTTTATGTCATTCGTTTCAGAATCCTAACAAAATTATTGAGGTATTCGACCTTGAATCCCAAAAGTTTTGCCTGCGGCGCATTCACTGACCGACTCCGTCCGGACTGTTATGTCTCATTGAAGCGTTGGCAATTTTTACACATGAGTTGTCTATCTAGAGTGTGTATCATCGTTGGTCTCATCATCATTCTGGATGATGTTATGAACCACAGGGCTGAAAGAAGTATTCGATTTCGCGAATGAATCAGCGTTGATCTCATAGCATTAGTAGTCTAATTAGTGATTTATGTCGGTGATATCCATGAAATGTACAGTGTGTCCAGTTTTCGATGCTTTTGCATGATATCTCAGTTATCTGTGGAGATAGAACCTTACGGTTTTCGCGGTCCTGTGCCACTTCTTTTGTGAAACTCAAGATGGCCTAATCAGATTTTGCAGGACTGTTTCCATTTATGAGATACAGGGCGATTTCGAAAATTCATACTCTTTGGACCCCCTCGATATCTACGAAGTTTATCAGCGAAAATGTCAAATTGAAATCTTAACCCATAGAGAATTTTATGCAAAATCCAGTGGCGCACAAATTTTTTTTTTCGGGGTGTGGTTTTGAAGATATGACTCAAACTTATGATTTTTTAAATTGAACACCCTGTATTTCATGAGCTCATTAAATTCCTTATTTTTTTCCCTTCGAAATGATATATGCTGTATGAATATTACATTTTCAAAAATGTTCAAAAATCACTAAAACATTGAATTTTAATAGTGGGCTATGGGTTTTTCGAGGGATTTTCATATAAAGAAATTTACAATTGAAGGAATATTTCCTTTGATTGCTCCATGAAGGGGGAAATAACAATTTCAGCACTAATTAACTTGCAATACACAAGACTTAGATACCTGATATCCACAAATATATACTAATAAAAAGTTTATAATGTAGAATAAGCACCTGATTGAATATTTACTAAAACAATTGAATTTCGAAATTATTCACTGATTTATTCATTGAATTGTTCAAATTGATGTCCATTTTCCATCACAAACTTCTTCAATACATATTAATCATTGAAAGATGTCTTTGTAATTCCTGGGAAACTCCCTTCGTTGTTGCACAAAGTTCTTCAAGTATGTTGGGCCACTCACTGTATTAAGAAGTATTAAGAAAGTTTGTCAACTGTATGTTAGGGAAAATGGATATCAATTTGAGCATGTCAATGAATAAGTTACTGAATAATTCCGGAATTCAATTATTTTAGTAAATAATTAATCAGGTGCTTATTCTACATTATGAACTTTTTATTACTATTTATTTGTTGCTATCAGGTACCCAAGTTTAGTGTTTTGTTAATTAATAAGTGTTGATATTGGTTTTGACCTCTCCATGGATAAATTTGAAGAAATATTCCTTCAATTGGAACGTTTTTTATAAGAAAAATCCATAACCAACTATCAAAATTCAGTATTTTAGTGATTTTGAGCAATTTTGAAAATTTTATATTCATTCTTTATATATAATTTTGAAGACAAAAAAATAAGGAATTTAATAAGCATATGAAATACAGGGTGTTCCATTTAAAAAATCATAAGTTTGTGTCGTATCTCCAAAACCATACCCCGAAAAAAAATTTAAGTGCGCCACTGCGTGAAATTCTCTATGCGATAAGATTTTGATCTGACATTTTTGTTGAGAAACTTCGTGGATATAGAGGGGGTCCAAGAAGTATAAATTTTCAAAATCGCCCTGTATCTCATAAACGGAAACAGTCTTGCAAAATCTGATTAGGCCATCTTGAGTTTCACAAAAAAGTGGCACAAGACCGCGAAAACCGCAAGGTTCTATCTCCAAAGATAACTGAGATATCAGACAAAAGCATCGAAAACTGGACACACTGTACACTCGTCTTCACTGTCTAACCGTGACATGTTTTCTGAAAACGAGTGTACATCAGCCCAGCAGTAGTTATCCCGGAGGGGATGACATCAAAAATACTCACCTTCAGTTCGGTCAACAAGCTCTCGTGTAGACCAACAGATGCAAATTTGGAGGCACTGTAGTCAGTACATTTGTAAGTTCCTAGTAGTCCCGTCAGGCTACCTATTGTAACGATATGTCCTTCTTTTTTCTTCATCATATCTGGTAAAAAAGCCTTGATCGTCTGGAAAAAACAGAAACAGACTGAATATTTTGAAGGAAATATGTTTGGGGGATAAATCAGACAGGTTGATTTTTTTTATAAAAGGGGGCATATTTCTATAATATTATCAGCTGTCATAATAACCTTCTCCTTCTCTTCGTTACCCACACGGATGAAATTCGAAGCAGGATATAATAATAAAGAAACCGAATAAAAAGAGAGGAAATGTTTGTACTCATGACTCATTTGGATTCCCCTTCTTGAAAGTAATCTCTCATGAAGGATTACTGATGGATGGAAAGTAGGACCACAGATAACCTAACTCCCATCAGATACGAAAGCTAAACGTAGGTCTCCCACCTAACCGAATTTGTATGCGTACGTGCGGCGTAGCCATGCTAGTTACTAGGGGGAAACTCTGTTTCGACCCCTACTCACACAAATCTGATCAAATAAGTTATTGTTCAAAATTTCCCCCCGCTGCTTTACAATACATTCTAGCTCTCCTGATTATTGAAAAACTTTTTTTTCGTCGAGGTGGTTGGAATCCTTTATGAACTCCATTTGGGTCTAATCCCCTATTCCATTTTATAGTGTGAGAGTCCCCTGACCTCAGGGTATATCCACTGAACACTCCACCCTTTTTGTAGGCTCGTCTGACTGATGTCTCCGACGACACATAGGCTTAGTGGCCCATTGCATCTTACCCACATTCCGTTATCAATTTTACCATAAACGTCACATGGTGCTCATCAAGAGCCATTTCAATATAAAAGACCTATCCTGTTCAGGTTCCTGGAGATTACTTTTTCGATCCCTGTTCTCGTGTACGAAGAAGGGCACAAGTTTTTCTTCTCCTTCGAGTGACGGGGGAAGAGCTTGTTCCAGCCTAATGGTGCCCCCTGCAGAGGGCTAAGGCTACTTACTCTAAGATGTCGCCCTGTGTTTCTCAAAGGCCCCGAAAGCGACACCATACCTCGGTGCCATTCATCCATCGTTACGGGTTCCCACAGCTTGGATTAGGTTTCCAGACCCTCGTTGACCAGTCCTCAGTCACCTAGACAAATATCAGCAAATCGTTCCATCCTCACCACAGATGTCCACAAATGATTGTCCCATCTGGCCCGGAGATAGCAGAGATGGTCCCAAAATGATGTTTCATTTGTCGAGTGGCCGTGGTCTGTTCTTCCAACAGTACTTGATGATTAGGTTAGGCTTGAAGGAGAAGAGGAAAAGAGAAGTTGGCCAAGGAAGGCCGATAGAATAAAGCGAGAATGGAAAAGAGGAGAGGATATCACCCACGATAAGTTGCAGTTTGGTGAATATCCGGCTAGGGTACCTCGGGTTCACCATTCCCGTACCCACAAGTTGTGATCCCCTGAGGGAATTGGAAACGTTGCTCTTTGAAGAGTATCTGGGTCGTCTGTCGTCTCGTATGGAAGCAGATGTGGTCATAATATTTTGAATCAGCTCATCTTTGGTTTGTGGTTTATTTGAATACAATAGACTTTCCATGATAATAGGCGAGAGGCGTTAGGTCAGGTGACCTAGGTTTCCAAATAACTGGACCACCTCTTTCAATCCACTGATTAGCAACTACATTTTGAATTTTAGATAATAGTGTGTGCACTTTCGACTCGAACTTGTTCAAGGAATATACCCCTGAAACAGGGGCCATCGAGTGACGAGAGATCTTGTATAACTCAAGGTTTTACGTGATAGAAGCCAAAGAAGAAATTTCTTCTGTTATTGTATACTATTGTCCTTCAATTTAGTCGATACTGTTGTTTTCTTTTCGTGAAACTCAAAAAATTGATAGATGAATAGATAGATAGATAGATAGATCTTCATTGTTCACAATACATACATATAGTATATTTTTGACAGGTCAAGTCAATGAATATCAAGCTACACAATATAAAAAGTAGATAAAATTGAAATAGAATCAAAGCCTTGATATCAAAGTGATACTCAAACACAATATGAAAAAGTCTAAAATATATACCAACATATCAAATATGAAATGGACATACAGATTGAATCCCAGATATTTGATAAAAATAAATAAATGCAATGAAATTGAAGGCATATGATGTCACAGTGGCAGTAAGTCTAGAGATATGGTTGATGAGTATTCCTCGTTTGAGTAGAAGCACCCATCATTCAACAATTCTTAGATTACTTTTTCAAATTTCATGGGTAGTAGTTGTCTGTAGTGCTCTGGTAGTTAATTGAATAATTCAACTTTCATAGTATTTTTGGAAGACGTTGTTAGTCTGAGTCTCCGACTTTGCATGTTGTTATAATTTGTGGTGTGATGTGAATGAACATTGCTAGAGTACCTGAATTTTTGTAAGTTTTTCCGCATATAAATGAGACCTTGATAATGAATGTAATTTCTGAATTGCTCAAAATAAGGCCTGCAGGACACTCTGGGTCCAACTCCGGCAATGATCCTGAACGTTCCTGAACAAAAGTTCTACTCGCGTGGGAATAGTTGCCTCACAGTGTACCATATGACAGGTGCGAATGGAAGAGAGAAGAATATGATATTTTTATTATATCCATACTAACAGACTTCTTCAGTCTCCTCAACAGAAATATTGGGCTGGTCAATCTCCAACATAGCGAGTTTATATGCAATATCCACTTGATTCTCTGATCAAGATTTATTACTAAAAACTCGACACATTCATTATTGTTCATTTGTGCTGGAAATGATACTTTAAAAAAAAAATTGAAGATCTTACCCAAAAATGAGCCAGTACATTGACTTTGAAAGTTTTCTCCACCATATAATCTGGTATATCCAGAAGCTTCTGGCCGCATACTACCCCTGCATTGTTGATTAGTACATCGACCGGTCCGACATCTTCTTTCACTAATTTCGCATACTTGTATACTATTTCTCTTTCGGTGACATCTACAGGGTATGTATAGATGAGATGTCCTTCATCCTTTGCTCGCTTGTGCAAATTTTCCAAAGCTGAAAATCAGAATAAAATTAGAAAATATACATACAATATGTACAATACATGTACAGGGTGGGCAAAATTGGGCGTTTTCACCGTCTATCTCAATAACTAGAGGAGTTATCGAAAAACCGATATACATGTTCCGGGTTCGATTTTGGAGAAACCTCGAATGGTACAATCAAAATATATACGGGGGTGTAACCATAAGAAATGTGACACACTGAATATATTTTTGAGAATATATCTGAAATTGTGGAAGGAAAAGGTAGGGTTATATATATATATTTGTAATGAGAACGGCTGGGACTATTCAACTGTGCCAAAATATACGGGGTGTTCCATTAGAAAAAACATAATTGGCTGCCGTATCTTTTCAACGTCACCTTGTATAAAATTTCTGATGATGCCAATGGATTCCACGCATCATACTGTATGAATATACGTTCGAAATTTTTTGATACCTCTCACCGTGAAGTAGTCAGAAAATAAAATCGAAATCGGCAAATTTTCAATTTCCCCCTGTATCTCTAAAACAAATGAAGTTATCGAAATTTTGATTGTGCCATTCGAGGTTTCTCCAAAATCGAACCCGGAACATGTGTATCGGTTTTTCGATAACTCCTCTAGTTATTGAGATAGACGGTGAAAACGCCCAATTTTGCCCACCCTGTACTGTATAGGTATAATCTATACTAATATCAAAAAGAGGAAAGATTTGATGGATTGTTTGTTTGTTTGTTTGTATGTATCATTATGTATTGAATAGGCTCCGAAACTACTAGATCGATTTGGCTGAAATTTGGTGGGGAGGTAGCTTAGAACTAGGATACTTTTTATCCCGGTACCATTAGGAAATTCGAGATGGCAGATCTAATATATCGGACTAAATATGGAGAAAAAATCTAGTGAGCTGGAACTACGTATACTGATACTATCAGGCTAAATCAAGTCAACTCAAAGGGCGGTCTCAAGGTGAATACTCGGTAATGTTATCAAGGGTATATAATAGTAATTTTTGTGATGTTCTTCAAAATACCTCTTGAGAATGCTATATTAATGTTTTTATTTGTTTTATTTTTATTGACTTCAAGGCTGCTTCACAGTATCAAATTTTTCATTTCATGCAATTGATTGCTGCAATTTTCCAGCTTGTACCTAATGTTTTTTCATCAAAATTTTGAAATGATTTCATCTCCACTGCTTCGAGCATGAAAAGGTTTTTCTTCTACCAAATTGCATCCTTTTATCACATGGAGTTCCGGAAATACTCAAGATATATCTTGTTCAGGGCCCCCTCTCAGGAGGCCGTAGCTCCAACTTTTGGTCGTAGAAGCCGCTGATGGAGTTTGGCCGGCTAAATTCGGAACACCTTATATCCTAAATAAAGTTTAACTAGTTGAAACAACAGGTTATGGGCCCAGCGCGCTTCCACAGCGCAATACGAATTACCGCAATAAGATAGGTCAGGACTCATATATTTCCTGCAATGCAACATAGCGTCAGCTGTCCCAAAATGACATTAGTGTAGGCGCAGAATGAAAATTGTTGCAATTTCTGAAGAAATGTGAACTATATCGGCTCTTCGAATTAAAAATATAGGAAGATATTCCTTCAAATTGAATTCAAATTTTTCTGCTTCTTCTATATTTATCAACTTATTTGTGATGCGTGGTATTCTTCGCTACAAAATTTTGAAAGTATCTTATTGACTCGACTACTTATCACACTATGGGCACATTGAACTCATCACTTCAATGATATACTGCTGTTATTTAATACGAGCTATTAGTTGAATGTGAAAGTCTCATCTCGCAGAGAAAATCATGCAAACTTATTCGTACTTTCATGCAGTGGCGTATTTATAGTTCTTCATCAATATTATTTAGTTATCAGATTATCATGAGTAATAACACGATGTTATGAATATTGTATAGATAATTCTGTCGCTCTATTGTTTACGAAATTTTGTTGCTGAGCAACACCATCAGTCCGTCAAGACGAGTGTTATTGCTGTACGGCAACAAAATTGAGTTCGCAATGGAAAATAGAATTATGAGAAGTTATTCAGAACAGAGTGGTATTTTGCTTGACTATTTCACGTTCACGAAGCATAAGAAGCATTTATTATGAATCTACTTCAGAAGTCCATGTTGAATGAGTGATTCATCTGACAAGTACAGCCATAATCATTTTATGCCAAACTGACAGACTTAGCGATCCATGGTTACATCTAGACTTCGCTTCGCTATCCATGGTTGCATCGTTGAAAATCAACGCTGATAGCTAATGTATTCGCGATAAGCACACGATGTCTCTGGCTTCTGATTGGTCAGATTATGTGATGAGTGTTTTTATCACAATTCTGCACATGTGTCTCGAATTTGAACGTTTTATAACAACTTTTTGCTATTTTTTCAAATTTTACGAAATATCTGTGTAATAAAAAAAATGAGATCAACAGAACTATCTCATTCTAGTAGCTTCATCATGCTACTATCTCTCAATCACTAATTATCGACAGAAATGTGATTTTCTTCAGAAGATGGTAATCCCAGCTTCAAATTTCAGTTATGTTTGATGCAAAGTTGATGTATCGTCTATAGACGCTAAATTCATTCAAATTGATTTTTTCAGTACTAAATTGATGCCGAAATCATACATCAAAATATCATCATACTACTCTACGTATCTAACCAAAATTGAGGAAACTTTTGTCGAAGTAACAATTAGAAGGAATAAAAAAATATCGACAACTCACAATTGTTCGAAGCCGAAGAGGGGCCACCACAATTATTTTTTTCAATTTCGACTTAGTATCTCGCAATTTTATAATTCCGACTCATTATGTCGGAATTCCGACCTAGTATTTCGGAATTATGCAATTCCGACTTATCATCTCGGAATTAGGACATAATAATGATAATGATAATTGTAATGATACCAAAATTGTCTCTGTAGACCCAATAGTTTTCGAGATTAAGCTTTTGCATCAAAAACAAATACTCCAGAGCTCCAGTTGGAATCAACACATTTGGTACGATGTCTGCCAAAATTGCAGAATTTCTAAATTTGCCTCAGCTAATTTGTTGCTAGTCTAACTGAAATTAAAAGACATGGTAGATGGTAGTCCAGAACAGTAGTAGAGGGTAATATCCCAGCAAACATTCAACTAGCGGGAGAAGTCCGGCCTAGTGCAGGCTAGTCTGGGAAAATGACGATGCCTGGGTATTGGTAATGGGCCGATTTCCTATGCCAAGTAACCATCAGTTAAAAATACGATGATGGCCTTGTGATGGTAAGATGTCTGGAACTAATTGAATACTAACGAGATCTGGCCCTTTGCTGGCCAATTTCATGTTCACTACTCGTCCCCCTGGTGGATGTTCTGGGAACGTCTACATCAACAATCAGCTGATCCAATATTATATGTAACTAAGATGGCGGACACCCGTGAGTGGTGATCGCGTACTAGTTTGTTTATGTCGAATTAATGTGGTCCGCTCTTTCCCTGGTGGTTATTTATGATGGCAGGAGTATTCTCAATTGATAATAATAGAAGACGGATTCTTCAATTATGATGATATTGAGTAAGTATCAATCTACCTACATAGTGTTTCGAATTTCATTATTAAATGCATGTGTTTGGTAACTCGTTACCTCATATACCTAATGATTATAATAATTGGAGTTGACTATACTTCTCCGAAAGCAACTATCATTTTGAACTCATTTGTTGCTATCAAAAGCAATCTTAGGTTATGTGAACCTTTCTCTATATTAAAGAACTAAATAACAATAAGATTTCAGCTACAGAAATATCAGTGCCAAGATGAGAATTGAAAAGCTCCATGTTATCACGTCATCAGACTATGTTATCAAGTTATAAACTCATGCAACTCATAGGCCACTAATATATAGGTATTATAACTAATGATGCATTCCAGAAGTACCTCACAACGAAAATCAACTTTGAAGGAATGCTACCCAATAAGATGTAGATACCACATACCAACCAGTAAGCAGTCACTCCGAGAAGTTTCATCGTTGAAGAACAGAGAGGTTAAGAAGATATCATTGTGTCATTTATGAAATTGTTTTCTTGGAATCTGGTATGTGTCTGATTCATGATGAGAGGGTTATATTGTGGAATAAAGAGGTACTAGAACTTTCAGATCCATTGGACCCCTAAAACCCCTACCCCTCCCCTACCTCGATAGTATGTAACCAATGTCGTTAATTGGCCATTACAGTCTCATCATTTATGTATATGCTGGGCTTGCTATTGGAAACTCAATGTGTCGATTATGTTGTACTGGTCTTTTGCCGGGGAACTGAATATGATTGCTGGGTCGCAGTGTACTGATATATAGAGTCCCGCATATGGGACCATTTACTGGGCCGCTGATGTCAGGTATGGGAAAAATATATTAGGCCATTGATACCCCATATCTAAATGTTTGCTGGGATTGAATACTCGCTTCAAAGGAACAGAACATTGCGGATCAAATTTTGTCCAAAACTTCAGTGGATAACATTGCTCTCTGCCCTGGTACAAGCTTCGCCAAAATAAATTCTGTTACATCTTCCAATGAGATTAGCCATGGAGTTTCTTATTATAATTGTGGTTCCACTATTTGCACGTTCAATTGGAAAAACAGTTAATTTTGAATTATGTTTCTATATTTTCTGTCATTATTCTATCCTTTTTGTGGCGTAAAGTGTGTTGTCACTACCAAGGTAGTTTTGGTCATTTTATGCACCACTAGACAATAAAGCCACCTCTGTTATAATTGACCCAAATTCACTGTTCTGATGCGAGATTCGCAATAATGGCTCTAGAATTTATAGTTGGTATTTATCATTAACGACTTGTCATTATATATTGTCATGGTCATGGCTACATTTGATCAGAATTGAAAAGAAGTGCATTCATAGTGACAATAGGATCATATTTCAGTTTCACTGAACTGAAATGATTGAAATGTAAAAATACTCCTACAAACACAAAGAATCCGGAAGAAACTCATAAGTTTAGGAAAATTAACGAACTCTCAATAGCAGAATTTTAGAGATTTCTAACTGGTAACATGGAATTCCTGAACAACTTTATTACCACCACGTTTGCCATTTCCAATGAAGCATTCAATGTTTTTTGGAAACATTTTCATTGGTGTTTTGAGGCAGCATTTCCTAAATCCACAAGATATAAAAAATACCAAGAGCAGAATAACAAAATCACCCTTTCCACCTCATTACAGAAAAAAAATTGATAATCTAAAGCACTTGAATAACCTGAGGAAACAGGAAAACTCTGAAAATAGTAACATCGCTTATAAAATAGCCAAGAAGGGTGTTGAAAATGAAATACGCCAGGAAAAAATAAATCATTTCATGAAAAAAGTTCAGGATTCTACGAATAAAACCAAAACACTCTGGAATATTATAAAACAACCACATAAAAATAATGAAATAGATATTTAAGTATAATCAGTTAGGAAACGCGTTGTTTTGTGTAACGATGGGATTTTGCGGGACGAGCGAAGCGAGATCCCGCAACATCACAGAGTTACACAAAATGGCGTTTCCTAACGTGTCACGTACAATATTTTTTCTGATTTTGACAAAACATTTCGCATGAACAAAAATAATGACCAGTTTTACATGAGTTCTGCCGACTCTTGTTGTGTGAAATGAATGAATGAAATGAACATTACATCACCAGTTATGTAAAATTTTACTTTACGCAACTGGTTACGTAAAGTAAGACGTTTCAAAACTTCCGTCAGTTTTGAAAAGTGTCACATTACATGTCAAAATTAGAAAAACAAATGTATAGTACTGAGTCATGATGATAAAATAATCAGTAGCGAACAAGAAGTCGTAGTAACATTCGGAGAGTATTTCTCAACAATAATTGACGAGAAAATCAGGACACATTTCCCAGGGAAAGATTCAGAAAGTTGTACCACAATGCCAAATGTCAATTCAACCATGTTTTTTGAACCAGTCACTACGGATGAAGTAAAGAAAGTTATAGCCTCTCTAGATAATAAGAAAAGCACAGGACATGATGATGTTTCCACAAGAATAATAAAAGAATGTGTGGATATAATATCGGAAGTTATAGCACATATTATAAACTTATGTATTTCGTTTGGAGAATATCCTGATCTGCTGAAAATTGCGGTTCTTGTCCCTATACTCAAAAATGGTGACAGTAAAAATATCGAGAATTATCGTCCGATATCAATAATCAGTGTATTCTCAAAAATTTTTGAAAAAATTATATCTGGCAGAATAAATGATTACTTGGAAACATTCGATCTAATGACAAAGTGCCAACATGGGTTCAGAAAAAACCGCTCGATAGACACTGCAACGCTCAATTTTGTACAAGAAGTACATGATTTAATGGATAAAAAAAAACATTGTGGTCGGTCTATTTTTTGATTTGAGTAGAGCCTTTGACACTTTGAACATCAAATTCGTATCAGATAAGCTATTTAAGATTGGTATTCGAGGAAACATAAATCATCTTATAGTGTCTTCCCTAACAAATAGATATTTCCAGGTGAAACAGAATGATATAATGTCCGATGTCCTAGTAACAAATGGGACGCCTCAAGGCAGTGTACTTGGTCCATTAATTTTTCTATTATATGTGAATGATCTACCTAATAATATAAGTAATGGTGCGATATACCTTTACGCAGACGACACTTCCATTATTCTGTCAAGTAAAACAGCGGAAGAAATGCATAACCTTGTTGACTCAGTACAACACGAATTTGAAGACTGGTGTTACAAAAATAGACTCATAGTTAATATGAGTAAAACTGTCTGTATGGAATTTGCAAATTCATCTCGAAGCCTACATGATTTTAATTCCATTTTCCGAAATGAATCCTTGGCTTTAACATGTTCAACAAAATTCTTAGGTACCATGATTGACTCGCATTTCACTTGGCGAGAACATATAGAATTCACATCCAAGAAATTGAATCAATCGTATTACCTCATCAAATCCCTTTAGAATAAATTAGATACCAAAGCACTGATAACAATTTATTTCGCCAAGTTTCAGTCTATTATTTACAACAACATTGCTGTCTGGGGTTTAGCAACTGAAGTGGACAGAATTTTCATAAAACAGAAAGCATTACTGAGGCTAATTTTCAATCTAGACTACAGAACGTCATGTAAAGAGATTTTTCGTCAAAATAAAATATAAACTGTTGCTTGCTTGTTCATTCTAAAAACATTGACGTATATCCATGGAAACAGAAGGCAACTAGAGTCGAGATCGGAAGTCCATGATTATCATACTAGGAATAACCATATGATCCTCACCCAAAAACACCATCACGCAAAGTATAGAAAGTCTCCTATGTTTGCTGGTATCCGTCTTTTCAATATACTGCCATGCGATATAAAGACACTTCCCCCCCTAGTTTTTAAAAAACAGTTGATAGTGTTTCTATCAGAAAAATGCTTCTACACAGTAGATGAATTTATACTTGAAGTTGGTAATGTCAGATCACTGTCATTGTAACGTTTTTAGCATGTTGTTTACTTATCTATTCTATTCTCACTTTTTTTAATATGTATTTGTTTGTTTTACAATGTGTGTCACGTGATATTTTTTTACTTGAAATTTTCTTTAATCTTATATACATATATATTATACCTGACAAATATGACCTGTCCCATCTACATAATGTAGCACAAAGGACTAATAAATCTATCTATCTATCTATTTATCTGTAGTGCTAGTAGTGAAAAAAATTAGAAAAAATACTAAACGTTACACGATAGAAAAAGTATATTGTTCAACGAGCGCGGAATGATAGTGATTTCCTACGAGAATGAAGTTTGCAGCATGAGCCATAGGCGAATGCTGCAATCATCCGAGTAGGAAATTAGCATTCCGTGCAAGTTATACACTATAATTTTTCTACGGCTATAATAGATAACAACGGCATTTTCGATTTCTTCGTCTTGTAGCCATCTGATTTCCTGTCAAGTAATGCTCATCTATTAGAAAGAGGCGATAGGCGATGAGTTTTTTTTTAAATAATAACACAACTGAGTCATTGTGATATCAGATACGAAAATAAAATTGATGACATACAAAGTACCTCATTGATGTATCGAACACAGTAAAACAAGAGCAATCTTGTGTTATAGCCGTAGAAAGACGCATTTTGTGGTTACCTGAATCAAATATCGATTTGTCTTCGTGATCGAAACCATGATAATTGTACAATGGCGATGAATGTTAATTCCGTTAAAAAAAATTGTGTTTGAACCTTGTAGTAAAAGCAATGAGTTTTCGGACAACAATGCAAATTGTAGACAAAAAAGACATGACAGGAAATACCAAATCGCCCACCTTTTTCATCGTTGTCCCAGACCACAACTTTGGCGTCCTGTCTGGCCAGTCTCAGGACCAGATCTTGCCCCAGGCCTCCTGCTCCCCCAGTGACCAGAACCACCTTTCCTCGTACGCTCTTCTCAGCAAGCAGGAATGAGGGAGTCACAGCGTACACCACGGACTCTACTATGTAGTAGACGGCTAGGCAGCAGAGGATGCCGATCTGAGCCACCTCCGTGGATACCTTGAAAACCACTTGGCGCGTTCGTTTCCAGTATTGGTGAGTAATGCTGGAACAGATATTACGTCGCCCTAGAATTATAAGGTTCTATCTGCCTTTGTTACCAAAATCGAGATTTTTGTATATTAGGGTTCTATCTGATGAATTATTCATTTTGAGAGGTCAACTATCGCAATCTATTGGAATTTAAATGAGGTAGTCATAATGCATCTACAGAATATTGAATTTTTCAATTTTGACAAAAGCATCATAATCTTCGACCTCCTAAATCTCCAGATACCAATTTTGAACAGAATTGGATCATATAATCACAAACCTCTTGTACCATATTGGATCCGTCATCTTGAATTTTCGGATTTTGACGAAAGAATCATGATATTCAACCTTGAAAACCCCCAAATACAAATTTTGAGTAGAATCAGATCATAATTAAAGAACTCGTTCGCCGTATTTGATCCGCCATCTTCAATTCTCCAAATTTGACGAAAGAATCATTATGCCCGACCTCGTAAGCCCCCAGACACCAATTTTGAACTGGTGTGAATAAATTCTAAGGTGAGTACCAGTTACCATATCTGCCTATTATGATTCATTCTTTGTTCTGGTTCTTCAAAGAGGAAATTCATCAGATTTCATGCTTCAAATAGGTTCATGTCATGAAAGAAGTGAAGCTTATTAAAATCGGCTACAAAAAAGATGTGTTGTTTCTATTTCAAATTGAAATTTGAATGAAAATGTTGAGCACAGTATTTATTCGACCATAGAACAATGATGGAAATAATAGATTCATCCCTCACAGAACCAAGGTTTTGAAAGATTTTCCGATTATGGCGCCTCTATCGCAAATACCTGAACCCCAAGTCCAAAACTCGCTTGCAATTGTTCCATATCGAGAGCTAGTCTGACGAAACAATTGGAGAGTGAGCCCACCAGTTAAATTTCTATACATCTCTGTTATCACCTATACACCTGTACTAATACTTATACATGGTATGTCACGAAGATCTCTATATCGACATTAAGCCCTCATTTTGAGAAAACGCTCTCTTCATATAAAATATTTTCAGCAATGCAGTTTTGCCGCTTCTATCAAAAAGTAGCAACAACTTTGTTATTTCAAATAGAATACCCTGTACTTTATTGCATTCTTTTATACCTTTTAGGGACACGCTGTATATTTTGTATATTCCGGTACACTGCTGGGTGATTCAAAATTCGATGTGAATATTTCAAGGACATATATTGTTGGGATCAAAATCAGACTATTTCCTTATGTAAACATATGTCCTAAGATACACCCTCCCCAATGAGCTAAATCTACAAAAAGTCAGGTAAAAAAACGATTATCTGAAATTGTGACTAAAATAACACACCCAATCTTCTCAAAATTGGCATGCCCCTGTCTTCTTATAGACACTCAATTTCCTCCTTGCTCCATAAATGATGTAAATCCTTTTTTGGGGGAGTTGGAGGAGGATCCACACTTTCATCATCCCCAAATTCCATGTTAAAAATAGAAACTTCGATTTTGAATAACTTGACCCTGTGGGCCATGAAATAATGTAAGAATTCGGTCTCTTGCATTTTTTTCGAACAACTAACCGTTTGCCAGAAAATCGTAATCAAGGAAAGGGAAAGTCACGACATCGTTTTCGAACGCAATGGGTTAAACGCTTGCATACGGAGGTGATCGTATGTCGCATGTCGAAACGCATTTGAGACTGCTATTCCAGAGGCGTGCAGTACTGGAATACTTTTTTTTAAGTCCTGGTTCCCACGAAAAGGGATATCCTGTAATGTTCAGAGAACATCGTGAGAACCAAGGAAAATAAGGCAGGAATTGGTGTTCATTATAAATTTATGGAGGTTAAATGCCTCGGGGAACACCTCCCTTGGCAATGTGTTCCAGAGCCTCGCTGTTCGTTGAATAAACGGGTCTTTGGAAAGAGATGTTCTGCGCAGGTCTCCAAAGTGACCACGAAGGGGTGCGAAGCCTCAACTCGACAGGGAAATCTCGCTGGGACTGTCATTGAAGGAACAATTGTTGATATTTCAGAAGAGCATCGTCCATGAAAATATCTACAAAATAGGGCCAGATCGCCAACTTGTCTACGGTGTTCCAGAGGAGTGAGTGAGTTTGTGAGCGAGGCATCACCCACGAGACGAATTGTCCTTTTTGGGACAGATTCTATCAGTTCCAGGGTATGTTTGGGTGCTGCACTCCAAATATGGGAACAGTAATCCAGGACAGGTCGGATCTGTGCCTTATAGATCGTAAGCAGCTGGCTGGAAGTGAAATAGCTCCTGACCCGAAACAGAAAACCAAATATTTGGGATGCACTTTTAGCAATTGATCTCACGTGATTTTCCCAAGAAAGGTTATTGCACTTGATCCGTTATTATGATCATAATCTCAGATTTTATTTTTTCAGTCCACCAACAGTGGCGGTAGATCGAAGGGGTGCATTTTAGGACGATTGGAATATTTACATCGAATTTTGAATCACCTTGTATACTGTGGAAGTAAATTATCATTTTTCTGTAGAATGTGGCAATATCTTCATTCATTGGATTTTGAGGAATCAAGCCCTAATAGTGCTTCTAGGTATGTCACGTCATCGAAAGCTAGCGCTTTTGAGAGATGATTATTTAGATCATTAAAAAAATTTTTGTGATGATTTGAAATAATAAATTCTATCAAAGAAGAAAACTCGAAGTCGTCTCCACAATTATAATGTTGAAAAGATGCAGTCAATCCTGCTTCAATAAGGTTCGATGCATGTTTCGGTCATTCAAATGACCATCTTCAGTCAAATTAGTACATCAAAGTGTATCTTCATCAGAAAAACCCAAACATGATTTGATATCACGAAGAAATTGAAAAATAAAATCAAAAGTAGCTAAATTCTATTATCACATGGAATGCTCACCTGTTGATGCTCTTCAAATAGTAACTCATCTTCGAGATGACCAAACGAAGTGCAGCAAACTGAAGAAACGAACTTTGCAAACGAATCACGCACACTCGAAATAGGTAATAACCGACAACGGTGAGTGAATATCAAGTTGTGTTCAGCTAGACCAATCATTCCTACGTGTATGCAGTCTTTTTAGTTTCCTTCATCACTTTCCCTGCAAAAGTATCTAATAGACAGGAGCGTTCCATGTGGGCTGGGCTCAGATTTTTTTCAATAGGGTCTCAACTTGTGACAAAAAAATTTGTCGTTATTTCGTGAGGTATTTTTCATGACTATTTCTCATAAAATTTGCATATTATCTGACCAATCGCGAGCCAAAGATAACTTGTATCATCGTGAAAACACTATATACACACACTGGCACAATTAGGGGAACGGGCAAAATTTACACTAAGTTTGACATCAATTTTCTTTCGAACCGATCGTTCGATTCAAATTTTTTTCTTCACGAAATGTAGCTTCATTCTTCACGAATACATCTGAGAAATAATTACCTTCAAAAGATGAGTCTTGCCATCATATACAGGGGTGTAAAGAAAGTACGGATTGTTCTGTATTTTTTTAGACATCCTGTGGACTGAACCACTGATAATTTAAACGATTTCATAACACCAAATTGGAGCCCAATCTTTTCCGAATATTTTCGTTTTTTATTCATCTTGATATCTCAATTATTCAAGAAAATACAGAGTTTCAAAGGAAAGGTGGATATTGGTATCAATTTTACACCTCAAAACTCAAATTGGATCTGAAAATGTGTGGTTTCTTGACTAACCTAACCTAACCATGACTAAACCACTGCCATAGGAGACAGAAGCAGTAAAATCAAATTGTTCATTTTGTTCACCTCGGCGATATAGTCTTTCCCTGCCATCTATTGAATTGGTGCAGATGCGGCTCTCATATGTTAAAAGAACATTGGCTTACTGGTCATTTCCAATTAATGCTACAGCCCTCGCCACATCAGTAGGGGTCAAATCTCTCACGTTGAATTTTCATTAATTGAATTTATTAATTGTGAATCGCTCGACTTTGACAATAATTAATGACATTAACAAAATAGCCAACGTTGATTAACAAAAATAGCATTTCACCAAAAGAACATAGGAGCAACTTTTATCACCCCTGCATATTCATGAGAGAATTCGTATATGTGTCTTCAAACAGTAAACCGATAGGTAAAACTGTGAACAATTCTCATCTTGAAGTAAAAATCCTCACAGAAACAAGTTGAAAAACGACACGTTCTCCCCAGTTCGATTTTCGAGGTGGTAAAATTAATACCAATATCCACCTATTCTTTGAAACTCTATATTTTCTTGGATAATTGGGATATCAAGATGGATAAAAAACGAAAATATTCGGGATAGATTGGGCCATAATTTGGTGTTGGAAAATCGTTTCAATTATCAGTGGTTCACTCCACAGGATGTCTTAAAGAATACCGAAAAATCCGTACTTTCTTCACACCCCTGTATATGATATAAAGACGAATCGTTTGGAGGTGGTTATTTCTCAGATGTATTCGTGAAGAATGGAGCTACAATTCGTGAAAAACAAATTTGAATCGAGTGATCGGTTCGAGAGAAAATTGATGTCAAACTTAGTGTAAATTTTACCCGTTCCCCTAATTGTGCCAGTGTGTATGATGCAAATGTATGGAATAAATTTGTTTCAAAACGACGACTTTCGGAAAAAATCCGAAAACTAGAGTTTAGAACTCTTTTATTTGATGTATTTTTTCAACTAAAGGCGACCCTTCGATGTTCAATTCTCAGTAGCAGACCTCTGCAAGATTCGGTTAATCAAATGACGATCCATTTCAATTTCAGTCTTCTTATGCAAAATTTTGATTGTTGGATAGACGATCAGTAGATCTTTCAAACGAGGTGTCACATGACCCCTGTTTGTATTTGAAAAAATTGTCCATTACGTCATCATTCCAATACCGGTGACGTAACATCTTTCATATGAATATCATGAGATTAGGCTTCAAAAAATAAAACTCATGTGTTTTTGGAATTTTTTCAAATGTCGCCCATTTCTGAAATAATGAATTTATTCCATACATTTGCATCATACTGTATAGTTGCCTTTCAATGGGGAAGTTTTCTATATTGAGGTTCTTATCTCACTGTGAAGCTTGTAAAAAATGATATATTCGTATTTTTTCTTCTTTTCGTAAGATCAAATTCCACTTCAGAAAAAAATAAATTACGTACTTTCTGAAAATCCACATTGACACAGGGTTAAAAAACGATTTGCTGTGCCAGTACGACGTTAGCCGACATCATCAATATGTCTAGATTTCCGGAAATTGTTCTTTGAATGCATAATAACTATATCGAAACAGCAATGAGATATGATAGGTTCTTCAATCCTACTTTGTCAAGTATTATGAATAATTCCCATTGATTTCTCATTGGCTGAATGAAATTGATTACTAATAAAGATCAATTATGACATTTTGCGATAGTATAATCTATAATTTTTCACTATCGTTATTTTACAATATGTTATTCATAACTTGTCATCAATTTTTTGCTAATAAATTCGTTACTTAATAAATCGGATCTATTTTCTAGGGAAGTTGGAGATTGTATCTTGCAACAGCGCCTAATACTACACCACTCGAAATACTGATAGGCACAACAAGAGGAAGGAGCCTGGGTGTCGGCTTCATTCTGTTCTGACCGATGGCACTAAATTAGGAAGGATAGTATCATTGAATGTAGCCGATAGTGATTCATTGATGCATTGATATTTTCGTTTAGGATCGAGCTCTATTCGAGATATTTCAATGCATAAATAATAGGATAATAAGCTGTCAGACAACAACCCTCTGCATTCGTGCTTTAAGTGCATTCGTGGTTATTTATGTTTTTGTTTACCATTTTAACTTCTTCTTCTATTTTTTTCATTCGTCAGATATTCGTTAGCTATTCGCTAGCTATATTCTTCACCACCTTCTATTTTCAGATAAGATTCAGTAGACTTTCTCGGTCGCCATTCTGTACAGCGTGGACATAAAACTGAAGAGTTCCGAACTTATTTAATGAAAATTCATCGGAAGGAAACTTCCCCATTATGATTGGTCTATCAGCGTTGGTGTTTTCAACGATGTCACCATGGATAGCGATGAAAATTCTGTCAGTTTCACATAAAGTAGTTTTTCTCCGATTGGCAGCAAATATTAATTTTCCTGCCTAGACAGCAAAATGGGTACTTTGCTGCCTAGGCAGCAAAGTGGTTACTTTGCTGATCGATATATATCAGCCAAATTAATAATCCATAAATCATTTATAATTTCCTTCATATTTTATCCAAGACTTCTCCGGAAACAAATTCAACTCTATATTTTTTGCCACCTTCCTTATTTCTGGAGGTTTAAGTACTTCCAGGTTGCTATCACTGTCCATTATATAATAATTTAAATATACCGATATTTTTTCGCACAACTGTCAGAAATTTCATGAATTGTCAAACTATAATTATTATGGACATTTCCATAGCAACCAACCATTCCAACAACTGCGATTTCTATCAAATTTTATTTTAATTGAACACTACAGGAAAAATAAAGATATATAATATATCATTATGAACAATCGGAGAAAAAATTATATGTTCAACTCGGCAGCAAAGTAGATTGACTGCCTTAGCTTAGTCAATCTACTACTTTGCTGCCTAGTTAAACAAATAACTATTTATTAGGATCAAAAGTCACACTATGTTACAAGCGAATTTTGCATTTGCGAGGCATAGCGTATAGGGTTACATTCGGAAAAATGATGCCTATATGTATAGTTTAAAAAAAGCGGCATTGTACATAGTGCTAGTGCGTAAATTTCGGTAAGAGTGAAAGAAAATAAACATCAAAAATTGAAAATAATATGTATATCTTACTTGATACATCTTCAAATGGACCCCGCAGCGCGTCAATGTGAAATTGGCTTTCGATGAATTTACTCGAATTTCTGATATACAGTGTCATTCATAAAGTCGGCATCATATGGATAAAACTTGTATCAATGACTTATTTTGAAATTCGAGTTGGACGTTAAGTTTTGCTTCAAACAAGATGAAGAATAGCCTACTCAATCGGGGTCACGTGACTTTCGCTACATATCAAAAGTGAATTTTTTTTCAAATTACTCGCTGAAAGTAGCCTTATTTGTTCGAATATCGAAAAAGTTTACCTGAAAAAGTTGTTTCTATTTGAATTTTACATTATGTGACTCGGATTTTATCTTCCCATTACATTTTTTGGATTTCAATATTTTTTAAAAATTTTCGAAATTTCTGTAATATTAAAAAAATTGTAAATTCGACAAAACTACTTTTTACCAGTAGCTCCATCATGCTAATAGCTTTCAATTACTAATTATTACTAATTATCGACAAAAATATGATTTTCTTCAGAAAATGATAATCTCCGCTTCAAAATTCTGTTATGTTTGATGCAAACATAACATCAAAATTCTGTTATGTTTGAGTCAAGGATTTAGAAACGAAATTCATTTAAATTCATTTTTCCAGTACTGAGAAGATCAGTTTAAATGAATTTCGTTTCTGAATGCTTGACGATATATCAACTTTGCATCAAACATAACAGAATTTGGAAGCGGGTATTATCATTTTCTGAAGAAAATCATATTTCTGTCCATAATCAGTTATGATAAGTATTTGAAAGTGAGTAGCATGAAAAAGCTACTGGAATGAATTAGTTACGTGGAATTAACAATTCTTCAAATATTAAAGAAATTTTGAAAAATTAAAAAAACAATCAAAGTCTAGAAGTTGCAATGAAAAAAACGAATTCGAGAAGCATGTGTAAAATTGAAATAGAAACAACTTTTTCAAGTAAACTTTTTCGATATTCGAACAAATAAGTCTACTTTCATAGATTAATTTGAAAAAATGTCACTTTTGACATGTAGCGAAAGTCATGTGACCCCGATTGAGTAGGCCATTTCTCATCTTTTTTGAAGCAAAACTCAACGTCCAACTCGAATTCCAAAATAAGTCATGAATAAAAGTGTTCCCCATATAATGCCGACTTTATGAATGACACTGTATTATAGAACTCGTGGTGCTGATCAAATGTCTCAATTGCACCAACACTCTGAAATCAACAGTTGAGATTATATAGGGTGAAAAAGTTGACATTTCCAAAATTTAAGATAGAAATTGTGAAGACTCCTTTCTCAATTTTGAAACCAAATCAACTCTGCATTGATTGTTCGAATGACCGATACGAATCTACTATGAAGTATAATAATTTCTGCACGTACTAACACAATATACAGGGTGGGTCGGAACATAGCGAATAATTCAGTGGATTTCGGAAAAGTGGGCGGTGGAATTTCATGTAAATTCAGTAGTATACAAATATCATCTCCAATTCGTGATATCAGCATCTCCTAATCAGACATATTATATACAAGATGTTTCATTTTTGATAATGTCACATCCATGTTAGGAACTTATTATTGGCATCCTTGTTAATTATGACTCACAACTTGAACAACCCATTGGAAAACTCGTTCATTCCATGATGAATGTCCACTCTGCAGATACGTAATATATACGGAGTGGATGAAAAATCAATGGTCTTTGCTGATAACTTTTCAAGAATAGCATGTACGGATTCTTGTGATCCATTTTATTGACCCTGTTTCATAACGACTTTATATTCAATAAAAATAATATGATCCATTCAATGTAGTATATTTTGAATAATATGTAAGAACGTACTGCAGGTATCATAATGGGTTTCTCATCGAGGAAATATAATTGCTTCTGTTGTGATTTGGATATCAGAATATTTTGTTATCTATAATAATCGTTTATTCATTGTTCTTGTTTCTTATTGTTGATTGTTTCACTATCACCTGAGAAACCTATTATGATACCTGCAGTACGTTCTTACATATTATTCAAAATATACTACATCGAATGGATCATATTATTTTTATTGAATATGAAGTCGTTATGAAACAGGGTCAATAAAATGGATCACAAGAATCTGTACATGCTATTCTTGAGAAGTTATTAGCGAAGACCATTGATTTCTCATCCACTCCGTATATTTCACGTATCTGCAGAGTGGACATTCATCATGGAATGAACGAGTTTTCCAATAGGTTGTTCAAGTTGTAAGTCATAATAAGGATGCCAATAATAAGTACCTAACATGGATGTGACTTTATCAAAAATAAAACATCTTGTATATAAGAGGTCTGATTAGGAATAACATCACGAATTGGAGATGTTATTATTATAATTATGAAACCACTGAATAATTCGCTATGTTCCGACCCACCCTGTATATTGTTAGTACGTGCGGGAATTATTTCACTCCACAGTAGATTCGTATCGGTTATTCAAACAATCAATGCACAGCTGATTTGGTTTTGAAATTGGGAAAGGTATCTTCACAATTTCTATCTAAAATTTTGGAAAAGTCAACTTTACTTTATCACCTTATACAGAGTGGGCCTTTGAAAACGAAACAGAGGCTCTGTAGGTCGCCAAAACCGCATTATAAAAAAAAACTGAAACAGGTCAACTACATTTTCGAGGGGGACATCTTTCTAAAATATTTTCAGCCCTGCGGCGTTGCCGCTTCTGAAGAAAAGAAGCAACAACTTTGTTATTTCAAATGGAACACCTTGTATTTTATTGCATTTTTAGATTCTCCCCGAAGAGCTGATTTCATCAATGCATCACACTTAGGGTGTAGCTGTAATGGTTTCAGGGATATAAAGTGTTCAAAATCGAGATTTTTCAACTTTAACATTTTTTTTGTGTCGAAACTATTCATTATTGGTCAAAACGGCTCTCATGTCCCGATCTCAACTTGTAATTTACTATCTACTGACATTTATTTGAAACAAATACAGGGTGGTTCAAGATTCAGAATTCTGATCACCCTGTATCTGTTCCAATTAAATGTCAGTAGATAGTAAATCACAAGTTGAGATAGGGACATGAGAGCAGTTTCGACCAATAATGAATAGTTTCGACACAAAAAAATGTCAAAGTTGAAAAATCTCGATTTTGAACACTTTATATCCCTGAAACCATTACAGCTAGACCCTAAGTGTGATGCATTGATGAAATCAGCTCTTCGGGGAGAATCTAAAAATGCAATAAAATACAAGGTGTTCCATTTGAAATAACAAAGTTGTTGCTTCTTTTCTTTAGAAGCGGCAACGCCGCAGGGCTGAAAATATTTTAGAAAGATGTCCCCCTCGAAAATGTAGTTGACCTGTTTCAGTTTTTTTTGATAATCCGGTTTTGGCGACCTACAGAGTCTCTGTTTCGTTTCCAAAGGCCCACTCTGTATAATCGTAACTGTTGATTTTAGAGTGTTGGTGCAATGGAGACATTTGATCAGCACCACGAGTTCTATAATGTATCAAAAATTGGAGTAAATTTATCGAAACCCATAATTTCCCATTGATGCAGTGCGGTGTTAAAACTTCATTTCTATCAATCCGACTTTCCATTTGACGGTATTTCTTTTTGCGAAATCCGTTTGAATTCATGAATTCTAGAGGAATATGTGACCTTTGAAAAATATACAGATGGACCAACAACCTATTTTTCTGCACAAGATTTGTGAGAAGTCGTCGCGTTTTGCAATTTACGAAATAATGGCGATCTTTCCAATCATTATGAAATCATCTACCATCGTTAATTCAGTTGTATTCCTAAAAAAATTTATTCACGGTAAGATGCATTGTGTGCCACTTTTTTATTCTGCATGCAGATAACTGTATATGAAGTGGCACCATAGTATCTTGACGATTTCGTTGAAAGGTGAAGGATAGTAGGTCACAACTCAAAAGAGAAAATATGCCTATTTTGTTGCTATATACGTATACTTGATGAATAGATGCATTTTTATGTAAATGTCCGCCTAAAATAACATTAGTTGTTTTTGGACAGATCGGGTCATATTTTGAACTGGTGATGAATAATATATGTGAAAAGCATGAATGACACTGAGATTGGAACCTAATAATTGAGGGGAAAAAGTCGGCGACCTTTGATTTTTCTGCAAATACTTCTGCGGAAAATATTCTTCAGAAATTTCGGCTACCGTTCCATCAATAGCACGTCAATCTTGAGATATCTCGAACAACTCTCTACCAAAACTCGTATTTGTGTGAAGAACGACAAAGCTTTGAATTTCGTTACTAATAAGGGAAGTATTCCTGGGAACTTTCATCCTCCAAGAGTTCAAGAAAAAACTCAAATTCGAAGATAAAAGAGTTTCTGGTTTTCATCTTGACATGATTTTCAATAACTTTTTTCTACAAAATCTGTTGTCAGTAATAAACACTATACTTGTCTGGTTTGTTACTTAGAGAAGTATTCCTGAGAACTTTTGATCTCCAAGAGTTCAAGA